TGAATGTCCTGCTTTGCAGCTCCTAAGCCTGGCCTTTTTGATCTTCAAATGGTTGTAAATGCAGGTTTAATTCTCTTTGGAGTGCCTACGTGATGTGCTTGCTTTCAGCTCATGGCAATATAGATTTCTTTCATCATAGGGCTATGACAGGGACCAAAATGGTTCTTGATATCAAACCAATCATCATAACAGTTTCATAAACTCAAAACAGGATGGGAAATAGGGAGAAGAGAAATAATGAAGATGATCCCCCCAAAAAAATTCTGGAAAAGTTTTAGTGAAGTAATATAGTATGGCCAGAATCCTATAACAGTTACTTAAGCTGATTTAGGTAACTGTTCCATAGTCACAACTGCTACTTAAGTGTGATTGTAAAACTATTGCCACAATCATAACTGCTCCCCCACCTAATTTACTTACATCAGGTCCATTCTGCTGGTGAGTGGAGCACAGGTAAATGAGATTTCCATCAGAGTTGGAGTGGGGCATTCTGGTAAGTATACTTAGGGGCTCTGAAGATGGCACAAAGTGCTGCCTTGGAACCAGGGAAGGGGAGGGGCAGCTGGCTGCCGGCCACCCCAACCCCTTCCTGAGGATGTCATTGGAGCTCCCGCCGTTGCACATGGCAAGCGCTCCAATGACGTCCTCCCGGCCCAGCCTCTGCACACTCCTTCCAGGGCCGGCAGAAGGGTGGATTGGGGCTAAGGCATGGGGCAGCCTCAGCCCCAATCCTGCGCTTCTCAGGGTAGCCCACGGCCACCCGTCTGCAAAGGCCCTTAGTTAAGTGTACTTACTTATATCTCTGTCTACATCATTACAAGGCAGCCCAGAGTATCCTGGTCCCAGAGCTGTCCAATCTTCCCTTTTTGAAAAGACCTCCATTCTGATGCTTGGTGACTGACCACATGCACATCCTGCTGAGCCAGCCAGCCCATTCACCACAAGTGCAGATCATTTCATTATGAAGCCACAATGAGATGCCCAGCAATGGTCACATAGCTGGGTGCCTTGTTCTGACCTCAGAGTGAGTGACTGGCAGCAGCGGCAGATATGGCAGGTGGCTCAGTGGAAGACATTTCAAAAAGGCACCCAGTATAAGAATGAAGGGCTCCAGATCTCCTGGAAAGATGTAGAGCAAACAGGAATTTTGTTAAATCTGGGGCAAGAGGGGGAAATCTGGATCTCATGCTGAATGGACTGAATGTCATCTGATCTGCTTGCACCAGAACCAGGCTTTTGACATCCATTGTCTAGTCTTCTTTCTGAGGGAATGGGAGGAGACCATTGCATTTGTCTCATATGATAGAGCCTAAGTATCTCATACAGGATTTTGTCCATTACATTTAACAGTAATTAGACTCAATGAAGTTAAATGTCCTGTTTTCAGATTAAATGTAATTAACATTGGGTTTGTGGTGGTTTGGGTTGTTGTTGTTTGCTTCTCAATTTAATACTTTTTCATGAACATTATGCCCAGTATATGCAATGGTTTCTCTTCTTCCCTGGAGACAAAACATATGGCCACCATCTACAAACAATTGTGCTTACAGGATACCAATGAAAATGACAACTCCCAGTCAGACCTAGTACCTGAATAACTGAGGACAAGAAAAGTCATAGGCAGAGAGCAAGCAAGGTGATAAATGATCAGTATACAGCAAGAACGTGTTACTACATTGTTCAGTGCTGAGGATGTGTGACGTGGAAGATTTTATATGTCAAATATTAACTGAATCATTCTGGCATAGTGGAGACAAAGAAACTTTCTCCTCTAGTGCTATGATTGATGTGCCTCTGGTTTGCTTCTTTAGCCAATATCCAGTGAGGCTGGGTTGACAAAATTCCTGTTTTCTATCCCTTAGGTTTCCAGCTCAAAACTTGCTCAGGCTTCATTTCTGGCACTTACTCTGTAACATACAGCATTATTTGTTAATGGTGTGCATAATGAAACATTCCTTTAAGCACAGTTCAACTGTTGAATTCACTGCTAGTAGACATAGTGATGGTTACCAAATTAGATGGTTTCATAAAGAGTACTGGAAAAACATCTGAAGGCTCTGTTGAACAAAGGTTATTAGTTATATTGGATATAAACTTCCTCCAGTACCAAAACTGGTATGTCCCTTCATATAAGTTGCTGGAAAGCATGAAAATTAGGATGCTTTCATGTCTTGCTTGTGGGGCTCCCAAAGCCAATTTGTTGGCCACTGTTTGGAAAGAATGCAAGATTAAATAGGCCTTTGGTCTAACCCAGCATGAATCTTTTATACTTTTATGATCTTATGTTCTTACATTCCACTGTTCTTTTAACCATGCTTTATGTTTATTTTCAAAAAGAATTAAAAATAAAAAAACTTTCCAGTACAGAGAGGGATTTTTAGTTAATCCCTTCTGACTGTGGTTCAGAGACTTTGAGTTTCCAGCTCCATAATCAAGGATGTTCTCTGCAATGTTCCTGCCTATCTATACTTCTCAATCTGAAAAAGTACCATGGGAGGAGTTTTCTTATGTTTCCCCCTTGACTTAAACTAAAATAAAGATTAGATAGGTTGCCAGGCCTCCTATTGCATAATGTATGGTAATGGGTAAGGAATCTAACATATGTAAAAATGACTTTTTCAAAAGATGCTAAGAGGAAAGACATCTTCATTGACAATACTGCACTAACCAGAAAGCCCCACTAAGATGTATTCAAGATTTTGCTCAAAATTTCTTGTAAATAGACCCACATTACCAGAACATCTACTAAGGACCTGTACAGACCGGCCACAAGGGTTGCCCTGGGGGTGGAGTTGGGGTGAGGTGACTGCACGCCAGCTGCCCTGACTCCCCCCTGATGCCGCCATCATGCTGCACATCCCACCGCATGGCACATGGCATCAGGGTGCTCCCTTGGTGCAGCATGTAGATACGCTGTGCCAAAAGAGCACAGAAGAGCCACAGCGGTGGCTATAAGGGTGGCTTTTTGCCAGGAGCGGCATTTGCTAGCTCTTTTGGAGCGTCAAAGAGCTGGATTGGGGCTGTGGCATGGGGTTGCTGCGGCCCCGATCCGGCGGTCCCAGGGGTCACTGCACCATTTGGAAGAGTTTAGACAAACAACATTGAGAATTTGCAGGTATGAGATCCAGCATGGTGTAGTGGTTTGAGCAATAGACTACGATTCTGGAGACCAAGGTTCAAATCCCCTGCCTGGCTATGGAAACCCCTGGATGACTTTGGATAAATCTCACTCTCTCAACTTCAGAGGAACACAAGGGCAAAACTGATCTGACAAATCTGGCCAAAAAAAACCCTGTGATAGGTTCCCTGTAGGCTCACCATGAGTCAGAAATCTCTCAAAGGAATAATAATAATAATAAATTTGAGTTTTAACCTGCCCCTCTGCTAAGCAACCGGGGCGGCGTACAACAAGTTAAAATGATACAGAGTAAAACACATCAATCAAATTACTCCCCCAACCCACCCACCCCTTAAAAATAGATTAAACTAAGACAATATTATAACAATCAAAGTAAAACCAACACATCATACAAAGGCCATTAAACAAGCATAAAAACAGGCAGTGGCGGCTAAGGGAGTGAGTTGACAGAACCAGACCAACTTGGGGAGCCGGGAGATTATTCCAGCAAGACCTGCTGGAAGAGATCCATCTTTACTGCTTTTTTAAACCAGTCAAGGGTGGTACTGAGATGGATCTCATCCAGCAGGCCATTCCATAATCTTGGGCAGCAACAGAGAAGGCCCTCTGGGAGGTCTGCGGCAGCTTAGATTTCATAGGCTGTAGCAGATTCTTCCCAGAGGACCGAAGTGCACGGGGGGAATCATACAGGAAGAGGCGATAAGTTGGACCCAAGCCATGTAAGACTTTAAAGGTTAAAAACAACACCTTGTACTGTGCCCGGAAACTAAATGGCAGCCATTGGAGAGATTTCGGCACTGGTGTAATGTGCTCTCTCCTAGATGTACCAGTAAGTAATCTGGCTGCCATATTTTGGACCAGTTGGAGTTTCCAGGTTAGGCACAAGAGTAGCCCCATGTAGGGGGGAAGCAGACCAGGGCGTCGGAGACAGTGCACCTCAGGACTGCGGCAGCCGCATCGAG